GTTTGGATTAGGGAAAGGGTTAGGATTAGGGTTATGATTAAGATTAGGGTTAGGCTTGGAGTAAGGGTTAGGTTTAGGGTTAGGATTGGGGTTAAGTTTAAAATACAAAAGAATACAAAATTACAAAGTCTAAAAATAGTAACTCTTCCTAAGACGTGACAGGTATAGTAAATTACTATACAAACATTTACAATTAACACCTTTTTACAAACTATTTACATTTAGCATTCAGTTGCAATAAATATTTTATTAACAATGACTCAAATTATGCCCAAACCTTTTCTCACCAAATATTTCAAAACAAAAAGTTGATGCAAGACAAGAATGCATCTGCTAATTAACAATCATGAGGGAGTAGCATTCTATATGCTTGCTTGACCATAGTTAATATATATGGCTATTGTGTGATCTATTATTCTATTAATTATTGGTTAAAAATTGCCCTAGAAATTGCATCTATCATTATTGAATATATTTAGCTGGAGGTTTGATCAAATGCAATAGTATTTTAAAGCTTGAATCATAGTTAATATGCTTGAATACAGGAATGTGATTCCTTGGTGGAAAAATGACGAACTACATATAATACTAATTAATTTATAATGACATTAATATTTCAGTTCACTACTAGCTTTCTTCAAGTCCTTCCTTAAAGCCTTCTTTCCCTTAACACCTTCACTCGATTTATATTTATTTACAATATCTTTGGCAAATGAAAAACATCTAACAGTAACATATAACTTTACAATATTTTCCAAACACAGGGACTGACATTCTTTAGTGATTTCCACATCACAATTTGCAATAATATTGCACCACAAGCTTTTCACAAGGGAAGAAGCCAAAACTTCATTCACTATTTTGTCTACTGGTAGACGAGTGACCTTGTCTTTATTTGTGTGCGTCCTAAAAACTAACTCACTAACTTCCATAATACTAACACGCCATGAATGAGGTGACCAAAGGCCACCTCTTGATAAAGATAAGATATACTCATTGTCCTCTGTTGCAGTTCGCATTGAATACATTAATGCTTGAATTTCCTTGTTTCTTTGGGACTGCCACCGGGAACAATTCTTACTTTTTTGATACAAAAGACCTTATGACATAACCTGCCAAATAGCTCAATGGCCCATGCTCTTGTAGCGATAAAGAAATCTCCTCCTAAAATAAGTCCGTAAAAAGACAATGAGTGAGATGCTACATTGATGCATTTTTGGAAACCAAAAAGTTAATAAATGCACATGGGGAAGTTGCTAGATAGTATACTTCAAAATAAGGTTTCTGTTTTTATATCATTTTTTAAAATAAGTTAGGGTTAGTATTGGGGTTAGGGTTTAGTTTTGCATCACTTTTGCATTAGGATAGTTTTTTCTACGTTATAATAACGAAACATTATTTTGAAGTATACTATCTAGCAATCAGGAATGGACATGGTTAGTGCCCCAGTTAGTAGTTGTGTTTTTAACCCACTTTCTGGCAGTACCCAGAGTAAAATGCCAAAATAGAGCACATTGCCAGCTGATGGGTAAAACTTATTAAATAATTTGAGGTTGATTTTATTTAGGTTCTAATGTTTGCAGCTATAATATACCATTTATAGACCTTATTCACCCCACAGCCACTGGGTCACCAGATCAAACTGTTAATTAAATATAAATGGTTGATGAATATAAACATGCATGGCAGGCCCTATATTAAAAGGGTACAAAGGACCTATGGATGAAGTCAGTAAAATTTTAACCCCCCCTAAGAAAAAAAGATCAAAGTGCCGACACAAAACATCCATCAGAAATCTCACCTCAGAAACGACTCTGGAGTCACCCTTCAGAAAAAATCATCAATAGGGGGTTGGTGGACATTAAATGGAATGGCCCAAAGCTTCTCGACGTTTTGATCAAAGGCCCTTCAACTTCGAGAAGCTTTGTACTTTTTTATAGGTGTGTGTGTATACTCATCAACCAAGGCTTTGTGATAAATATAAAACTGGCTATGTCAGAAAACAATTACCTCAGAGTCAGATGGTCCCTTGTCTTGCTCAATGCATATCAACAAACGCTCTGGGAGATGAATGAGCATTAAAAACACCATCTTCTTGTCCGGATAAGGATGGAAATACTCATGCCAATTAGCGTTTGTGTTGCCATAAAACTCCTTCAGAAACTTGTCTTTGCTTTTCTTTCTTTTGAGCTTCAGAAGGAGGTCGTTCAAAAATTTCACAAAGGTCTCACTTGGTTCCAGCTTAAAAACCTCTGCAGCTTGCTCTGGCTTGTAAAGCTTCTCGTCCGTTAAGTAACGACCAATATCTCGGATGATATCCCTCGTTTTATCCATCGTAATTACGACGTCTCTGGTAGAAGACGAAGTTGAACTTTCTTCCAATTCGGCCATGTGTTTACTTCGTTGATGCTTGGTTCGACCACCCTTCGACTTGCAAATTTTCTCGCAAAACTCGCAAGGGAATTGCTTATTTCCTTCGACCTAGAGATGAAGATTTAAGTTTGATTATAAGTTCGGTTATTGAAAAGGCATGGCTTACTTTGTTTTTGATATTTTAACTCACCTCTTCATGAGAATTTTCAACCCCGATCATCACTTCCTCAACGTCCATATCAAGCATAGCAAGAGTTTGCTCAAAATCGTCTTCAAAAGCCGAATGAAAAGCCCCATCACCTTCACAAAACGCAAAAGAATCGTCCTCGTCCATCTCCATGTGCTCAATAACGCTTGACTCCATAGACATCGTATGTAACGAGTAAATAACAATTTTCGACAAAAATCCCTCTAATTTGTATACGTTTCTACTATGAACTGCAGCTGGAATGCACTATAAGCTGTCACGTGACGTACTTTGTAACATGATATCCCATTTGATCACGTGTTGCTTTGAAGTTTGCCGGCCAGTATATATTAACTATGCTTAGAACTGTGGCAGAGGATGATGACGCAACCTCAGAATTATTAAGCAACATTAAGCTCCGTCATCTCGAGTTGCTAGAAAGGCCGACTGTAATTTCAGGATTAAATTGTGAAGTAAGGCAAACGGGTGAACCAGGAAGACCATCATTTAACATTTCAGCAGAGATGCTGGAAGATCTCAGAGGTTACGGTTTTTCATGGACAAAAATTGCTCGGATATTAGGTGTATCCAGATAGACTATTCACCGAAGAGTTAGAGATATGGGCCTGACAAATCTAGCGGAGTTTACTCTAATATCCGATGATGAACTGGATGCACTGGTTTCTAGTTACATTAATCGGCATGGAGATAATTTAGGGCAACTAATTTAGGGCATTAATCGGCATGGAGATAATTTAGGACGTTCCCTCGGCATCCGTGTTCAGAGACATCGCGTACGGGAATGTATCACTCGACTAAGCCCTGACAATGTGATGCGACGGTGGGGAGCGATTGTTCACCGAAGACAGTATCAAGTCCCATGGCCAAATTCTCTTTGGCATTTAGATGGGCATCATTCTCTCATATGCTGGAGCTTTGTGGTTCATGGGTGTATCGACGGCTTTTCCAGGAGAGTAATCTTCTTACATTGTACTACTAACAACTTGTCAGGGACAGTTCTTTCACATTTTTTTGATACAATTGAGGATGGAGGATTATGGCCATCACGTATCCGTGTAGACAGAGGAGTCGTTTTGTGTGCGATGCCATGGTCGAGGCAGGAGGAGAGGGGAGAGGAAGCTTTACTGCAGGACCATCGACCCACAATCAACGTATCGAACGGTTATGGCGCGATGTATGTCGTTGTGTTCTACTTTATTTCTATTATGTGTTTTACGCAATGGAAGATGCCGGGAATTTATTTTTAGTTAACCCGACACATGTATTTACACTGCACTATGCATTTTTACCCAGAATCAATCAAGCCCTCCATGAATACAAGAGAGATTTTAATGAGCATGGTATTAGAACAGCTAATAACTGGTCACCCAATCAAATGTGGCTTAATGGCATGATGAATGAGGAAAATCCCTAGTTGAAACTCCAGACAATTTGCAAAATTATGGATATGATCCTCATGCACCTTCACCATTTGAAGACAGTGATAACAATGTTGTTGTTTCTCCCATTTATGAAACACATGACTCAGAATTTACGAGAGCTCTGCAGAGAGTAAATCCCTTAAGGTCTTCCAATGATATGGGAATTGATGTGTACCTAGAAGCACTTACTTTAGTGGAAGAGTTGCTAAATGTAGGTGAAACACATTAAATGTAAAACATTGTTAGTAATTATAACCCACGCATCTAACTATTTGAAGAAACTGAGCACAACTTTTTTTATTGCATACAATAGTAACAATACTCTTTAGGCTACATTTGATAACACATAAATAATCTTTTGAAAATGTTTTCATGATTCAAAAACTAGAGATTATTCATAATTATTGTTTAATAATATATACTGTATCTACCAACAAAAATAACAAAAGGCAAAATCACGTGTTTTTAAATATATTTTGATCACTCAGTGAAAAGCCGGCATTTTGAAACTGGACTGATTATGTCACTGGAGCACTCTACCCTCGGAGTTCGGAATTGTGCGCGTGCGTACAAGTCTATGGGCTAATAAACGAAAAAGGTACCACAAGCATGGCATGAGCCGGCTCATATGTACATAAATACGAGCTTGTTACTATTATATTTAAGTCGAGGAATCGAAGAATCCATGGCATTTTGGCTTCATCGTTGCACCCCGAGCCTGCGATGCGCGAACGCAAACTCGATTTCTCGACGACGAAGAAAACAGAAAATTAGGGATTTAAGACACTTGACCTTTCAGGCCAGTGTAATTGAAGCAAGCATTAAAACATATTAGTATATACTCGAGGGGTGGATAGCGCTTTTCACGCAATTTGATTGGTTGCTCAGCTCCGGATATCCTTGCACTATACTGTCCTAGCACAGCAAATAGTTATAAAACTGTAGGGCACTCGAAAACTGCATACCTCTGCCAACGAATTAAGTTATATACAGTATCATGCATAGACAAACTTTTGGTAAATTCTCATCTAATTTTCATCCAAAATTAACCAAGATTTAAAAGTGATCTAGTAGAACCAAGGTCATATATGGCAGCCTGGTTCGCGTACTGGACTATTTATATTGAAATCATACACCAGTTGTTTTAAGTATGAAAAGGTTCCATGGTCCCATACTAAGGAAGAAACAGATCCCCAAAGGCGAAGAAAGTGGGTAAATTTTGTCCGCAAACATATAGATTAAACCTTAATGCTACGGCAACATCGTTTACAGGGGACATTGTAAACCTTCTGAAATCTTGTGCGACGCTTATCATGCAAATATTCCCGAACCCGTTGGATTGAGCGTATTTGTAAACGGTCTTATAGAATTGGAAATTGATAAAAGGCTAATCGTAAATGAACTGGTCTTCACAGTGTTAGCCCACAAGTGGTCGCGTCAAGATGCAGATACACAATCTGAGGAAACCGAGGATGAAGATGCTGACATGCACAACAGTTGTAACAAAGACATATACATCTCCCATTTGAATACATGCCCTGTATGCGCGTGGACAGACTTTTATCCAAATTGTACAAGGTGTCACTGTATGATCTGTGATTATCGGCTGTCCAAAGGAGAATCATCCTGGCAGCGCTTCCACTTTGAAGGAAATTTCCTTTTGAAAGGAAATTTTTGCAAAATGAAGGAAATTTGAAGGAAATAAATTTTGAGGGAAATGTGAAGGAAATTCTAGAAGAACGAAGGAAATTTGAAGGAAAAAGCAAAATTTCGCCAAAATTGGTAATATTTAATATATTTTGAAAATAAAGCGTAAAATAAGCCTCAATCTGGCCACAATTTAACAGAGAGTAGAAAATGAGAATTTATATTTCATTATTCAATTTTGTCTCCCTGAATGACGTCATTCTGTTTATAGTTTTTAGTTATCTCCAGGGGGCGTTGGAAACTTTTTTAGTTGGGGTGGGCTTAAATGTCTTTGGGCTCTTCACTTTTTAACAATGGTCAGTAATAAACAAAGATATTTTTTTATATTATTTCAGTTATGCATGTAGACAAAACAACTTGAGATATTTTATGACATTTTGTTACCATTAGAACTCTGTAAATCTCCTTCTAAAGTGCAGGAAATGGCATTTCAGACTCTAGTTTAAAATTTTCCCATAGGGCATGCCCCCGGATGTCACCTGCCATCACCCCCCTTTGCAGGGCTCTCACTTCCAGCTACAGTCATTTCCTTAAATTTACACTGAAATTTCCTTAGAATTGAAAAAAAATCCTTAAAACCGGAAGTGGCAATAAAATTGGCGGGAAATCACAAAATATTGTTGTTTTCGATTTAGAAGTTTTTAGAAATATAAAAAGGCAGTTGAAAATTCTATTTAACCTAAAAATAAAACAATGTAGCCGAAATGTAATTAGTGAGTAGTGACAATGGATGAATCTTCGTCTGAGGATGAGGATCGAGGTCCTCCAAGAAAGCTTTTAAAGCCGAAAAGCAAAAAGTACAAGCAAAACTTTCGTCAAGAATGGATGAAAGATCCGTCTTTTCAGCAATGGCTTCTTCCTCTTAAACATCATGAAAGCGAACCATCGTGCAAAGTGTGCTCGAAGAAATTAACTTGTTCAAAAACTGCTTTGCAGCGACATGGAGAGTCAATCCATCACAAGCAAGCTTATGCAAATGCATCCAGACAGGTTAGCATTCACACCAGCCTTCAAAACCAAGACAGCGCGAACGTATATAAGGAGATCACAACGGCTCAAGTAGCAGCTTTTATTGCCGCACACAACCTTCCCCTTAGACTGGCGCCGTTTCTGTTAGATTTGATAAAAGCAAGGTGTCCTAAAAATAGTCAAGAAACAAACTGTCTTCGAAAGATTGAGATTGGTGCCACAAAATGCACAAATGTGATTCGTCAAGGTATCGGACTGCATTATGCACAAGAGTTGATCGATATCTTGCGCCGCATGAGATACAGTATAATTCCAGATGAGACGACGGATGTTTCCTCAGAAAAGCAGTTGGCAGTATGTGTAATGTACGTTGACGAAACCGATTTGTTACCAGTAACTAGATTTTTGGATATTGTGGAGGTTGATAACTCTGGAGCAAATGGGTTATATCAAGCGATAAGAGCGATTTTTCAGGAAAAATTTATTCCTCTTTCCAATATAATTGGTTACTCGTCTGATACTTGTAATGTGATGTTTGGAGAAAATCTTAGTGTGTCCACTCTCCTGAAAAAAGACTTTCCACATGTTACTGCTGTGAAATGTAGTTGCCATCTTATTCATTTGTGTGCTTCTCATGCCTGCTTAAAACTTTCGAAATCACTGGAAGATTTGTGTAGAAATATCTATTCGCACTTTAGTCGATCATCACTCCGTCGAAAGGATTTTAAGCAGTTTCAAGAGTTTGTGGAAGCGCAACCCCACAAGATGCTGAAACTTTCCCAGACAAGATGGTTGTCTCTGGAGAGTTGCGTTAATAGAATTCTGGAGCAATGGGAAGCTCTCCGTCTCTATTTTATTGCGTTTGTGGCTGATGGCAAAGATCCGTCTTATACAACTGATAGCATTTTGAATGCCTTGAATAACAAGTTCGTGCTAGCGCAGTTAGAATTCTTAAGTGTCCAGTTGAAACGTCTCAACGAATTTAACACCATGTTCCAGTCGACTGAACCGTTGTTACATTACCTCAGAGAGGAAGTCACAAAGCTCCTGAAAGATATTCTTAGT